GCCCGCGTCTTGAGGAGCGCGAGCGCGAGAGGTGCGGGGCGCACTGCCGGCCGCTGCGTGCCCTAGCCTTGGCGCCCGTTGCAGCTGCCAGGTTTGTCATCAACCGCTGTTTGAGAAGCCTCGGTGCATCACCAAAACAAGTCCAGCCCTTTGGGCGCTGTTTTTCTTGAAGCAGGCACGGTCAACCAGGCGGCCATTTGGGGAAGGCGCGACTGAAGCCTGCACGCCTTCCGCCCCCCCCCCTCCCCAGGCTTACGAGGCCGGCCGCGTGAGCATGCGCCAAGCGTCACCCATGACGGAAGGGAAATGTTCACCCACTCACCAGACGCCCGTCGTGAAGTTCACGGTCGCGCCGGTGCTGCCAAACGGGTCGTTGCTCCAGTCGATCCCGCCGCCCGGCTGCTGAATCAGCCGCTTGTTGATCTCTATCAGCGCCCTGCGGGTCCCGGCCTGGCAGGTCTCGTTGCAGCTCGTCGACGCGTTGTATGAGGCGAAGGCTCGCGACGACGGCGGGCACTCCTCCAAGACCGGGCCTGGCGGCAACTTGCTCACGTCCAGCGCAGCGCCCGCCGCGCCCGTCGGTCGCGGCGAGACCCTCGCCGCCGCGACGGCAGTCAGCAAGACGAACATGGCAGCTCGATATGGCACCATGCCGGGCCAAAACGGACGACGATTTATTATTCAGGCTTCCCGGGTGCTGAGACGTCTGCCATTGGACATTTTTCGGGGCGGTCCTGGGGCCACTGCAGTCATTGATCAGAATGATAAGATGCACAACATAAGCGCTTCTTGATAATGGGCAAGAACCCTCGAAGTGATCTACCCTAGTAGAGCAATATGCGTGAACCGTCCCGTGGCGATTACAGGTGTGCCTTGCTGTTTCTCATGTACCTTAGTTTCAGTCACTTGTCACTTACAAGGAATCACCACCTCTCGCGTTGGCGGCAGTGTGTAGCGATGCTGCACTGCGTTGTTCACGGCGGTTGAGCTGGTTGTCGCACCCTGGTCGCACCATTCCGGTGCGCGAGTGAGCATGTGAGCTATGCGTCACAGCTTTGCGCTGCGTTCATAAACCAGCACAAACATTGCCCTCTCCAATGTGACGCATGACCAACGCTTGCCCCGCCACCCCCGTGCGAGGCCCCTTGTGCCTGGAGTCTGGTAGGGCGCAGATTGCGAACGGGCCGATGCCAACCATTTGGCTGACTGCAGCTTACCCCGCTGCGCAGCACTGGCCTTTGCGCACGCAGGCAATCCGTTGGGCAGTCGAGACGACGATGCGCGCTGCCGCCAGCCACCCGCTAGCCCTTCCCACTCCAATTTTCTTCAACACGGCATTGCCAATCGCTACACTCGCTGATGGACCTGAAGCGGGCGCGGGCCCAACAACAACATTGGCAGAAGAGCACGCGTGTTGGGCAAGCGTGCCAGGTGGGCCCTAGCTCACAGCCTCCCCTGAGCCCTCTGCCCTTGCTCAAGCCCTCTGCCCTCCCCTAAGCGCTCTGCCCTGGGGACTCCTCGTCGCCCGCGCAGTCAGCCGCAGGCTGCGTGCACAAGCTGGACTCACGCCTGCCGCACAAGATGACCGTTTGGCCGGCGTTTGAGCGGACAACCCCCTTTTGCAGCATGTGATTGCTCTCCTGGGGGGAGTTTTTCAGGGTTTCTTCGAGCTGCAGGCTGCTGCCTAACGCTGCTCGTCTGCGCCAAGCGGCAGCCTGAGCCCTACCCTGGAGCCCCACCTGGAGCCCCGCTTCTTCGACGCTGCATTGCAAACAGATTGATGGCTGAGTGAGATGGGCGCATTCATGTTCACTGCTCTGCCCGACACGCGCTGCTGCTGCTGAGAAAAATCGAAGCGCCCCGTGCCAAGCCCTTCCACCCAACCCTTGGAATCCAGCTGATCTGGGCCGTCTGTTGGCGGCCGCCGACCACGGTGAGGCGCTGTCCTGCGTGGTGACCATCGCACGCGCTGAGCGCGGTCCTGGGCAGGAGAGCAGTAAGAACCTAATTGTTGCACGACTACGACCCCAAGGTAGTTGAGGTATACTTCTAATTGTTGCAGCAGAGCATGATATGAAACTTCAAAGCAGCGCACAATTGGGGAGTGTGTGTGCCCAAGCTGCCTGCGGGTCAGGACGCAATGGTAGGCAACACAACAAATGGGCCCCATCCTGTAGTGCAGGTCAGGGGTGTACGGATTGCGTGCACAAATAACGCGCAACAGCTGCGCAGCTGGTACCCCTCAAGCCACAGGCGCGGCATGCTACTGATGGGACTGAGGACGCGGATTTCTGGCGGTGTCAGCGCTGTTGTGCTCTGCTGGCGGCTCTGCACGCAGGCGGGCAGCACCAGCCAGGGCCAGGCCCAGCATGGCTGGCTCTGCATTTGGATGTTCAACAGAGTCGGTGGGTCGCCAGGTTCGAAAGCGGGACAAATGCCAGTGATGTCACGCCATCAATGCCGAGGCCAGATTGTCTCCGCATAAATCTTCCTCGGCTCATTCGGGCGCTGGGGTGGGCTTGCCTGTTATCCTTATTATTTTTGTGATAGCTACGCGTGCCAGGGGTTGCCCCTGGTGGCACTCGTGCCGCGGCAGCCTCCGCGCAGTCCCACTGCAATGGACGACCTGCTCAAATTTGAGAGTCTAGTGAGGGCGGCCATGTCTGATCACCCGGCCCTCCCGGCTGTGGCCGACCTCAGCGGCGGCGGAGGCGGCAGCGGCATCGCTGCGCAGGCGCGGCCTCCTAATGACTCAGCTGGCCTCCCCTCGTCTTCGGGCCGCGGCGCGGGCGGCTATGAGGCCAGCAGCCAGGTGCGCCGTTGAAAAGGGCCACAGCGCGCACCGGGCCGGGGCGGCACGCCTCGCGCCGCGCGGGCCCCTCCGCCACACGTGCCCTTCCGGCCCCTTGGGAGCCGCCACAGCCAGCACAGGCGCGCCCAACCCCGCGCCACGTCCACCAACCCGCGCACCCGTGGCAACGGCGTTTGCGCCAAACCCCGTGTGTCATTTCAATTACGTTTGCAACCGCGCCGCACCCAGGGCGCCGGCGGCAGCCAGGACAGTGACGAGTTGCTGGCCGGGGGCGACGGCGACGATAAGCTGCAGAAGAGGCGCAGCGCCAACGCCAAAAGCCAGCGCGCGCGGCGCGCGCGGTTGAAGGCGGAGGCCACTCGGCAGAACGAGGTCTTGATGGCCCTGCAGGTGGGGCGTCGGAGGCTGTACGTGGGATGCCCGTGAGGGGTGATGATGTTGATGGGATCTTGCAGCTGTTAGCGCGTGTGTGCGGTGCATGTCCATTTGTCTGGGCGGGGGACGAGGTGTGTTTCAACAGAGAGAGCGGGTGTAGCACTTGCAGGGGCCTGGCATCACGGGGCTCTGTACAATAGATCCCATATCTGGGCCCGCCGGGGAGCATGCCGCGGCCCTTGAGCTGGCACCCGCGGGCCGCTGTTTAGCCGCCCGGGGCGGGGGCCCACGCCTCGGACTGCCCCTCCTGATGAGGCGCCCCCTTCAGCCCGGCCCCGTTGCCGCGGCCGGCGCCGGTGTCCCGTCGCCACCGCCCCGCCCAAGCCGCCGCCGCAGCAGCAGCGCCGCCCTCCTCGCCCCGTCCCAACGC